GTATGAAACTATAATAAGCTCAATGGTTATGTGTGTAAACAATGAGAAAAACAAATATAAATTCAATGTAAATCTAGCTTATGAAATTATGCTCAAATGTATAAAATAGCTAGGATTGAGTTTAAGAAAAACTTCTCTACAGATTAAGAGAGAGAGGGAGAAGAGTTAAATGCTCAAACACCAATGGATGATCTTCCTCAAGCTCTTGTGAAGTTATCTTCACAAACGAACTCTTAAAAACACACTTAAACCCTTAAACAAAACTTGTAAACCTCTTTAAAACTTTTCTCGTGTGTTTCTAGAACTGAGGATATGTGGGAGTATTTATAGGAACCCCAAAGTTAAGAGAAAATAAGGAGAAAAGACTAAAAAACAAAACTGTAACCGGCTGGAAAAAAACTAACTGTTACAGCATCAGTCGACTGACGGCTTTCATCAGTCGACTAATGAGCTGACTGTTAGAGGTATTTTTCAGCTCATCAGTCGACTGACGACCTTATCAGTCGACTGATGACCTCATCAGTCGACCGGTCAGTCGACCAAAACAAAACAGGAATTTTTTTGTTATTCCAGACGTTTTCTTCAGTCGACTGAACACATTCATCAGTCGACTGATAACACTGTATCAGCCTGATTTAATTAGTAAAACTAATTTTTGAAGTGCCTTTAAAAATAGAAAATAAATTCTAATAATTATAAAACTTTGGGAAATCATTGTAAACATGTAAATAAACATGTTACAAAAAGAATTTTTGGAGTTACACTTCTCAATAGTAAAAACTCATCATTTTTCAAAACAAGTCCAAAACATGAAAATACAACAATACTTGTTTTGTCATTTTGACTAAACCATGTTTTGAAAACTTTATAAACTGATTTTATAGACTTGATAAAAGATACAAACTATTGTTGTTAAGTCTATAAATCAAAAACTTAATATTATGCAAAAAATAAAGTTTTGCACAATATGCATTTAACAAAATGACAAATATGAAACATGTATATATATATATATATATGTAAACAATAATATAGGTTTCATATTTATATAAACTTGTAAACTATAAAACCAAAAACGTGTATATATATATACATATATATATATATATATATATATATATATTACAACAATACTTGTTTTGTCATTTTGACTAAACCATGTTTTGAAAACTTTATAAACTGATTTTATAGACTTGATAAAAGATACAAACTATTGTTGTTAAGTCTATAAATCAAAAACTTAATATTATGCAAAAAATAAAGTTTTGCACAATATGCATTTAACAAAAT